TATTCACCGGTTATTAACGTTATTTACCTACGAATGTGGGAATTATCGTTATTTTCTAGTGAATAACGTTAATAACCGTATGATTTGGGAAATTTTGATCTGATTATAAAATAAAAGAGGTTATTGCGGAAGATTTAAAAAAATAACCAAAGAACCAATCATCAAAGAAGACAAAATCGGAAATTAAATCATAGAAATCGCAGAAAAAAATTCGGAACTTGGTACTTAAATATTCTTTAATTATTTAACGATAAATTTCCGAATTTTAAATATAACAAAAATAAAACTAAAATATAAATATTTGAAAATTATTTTAAATATTTTTTTGATGATTGTCAAGAAAATATTTGTATTGCATGTAAAAATTCAAAAAAAAATTTAGAAAAACAAGGAGAGGAAATGATGAAATTTTCTAAAGAAAAGTTTCCTCAGCTTGAAATAGGCTTAACTGTATGTGTATTTATACCAAACGTTGATAGAGCTCGTGATTCTATGCAAAATATACTATTAGTTGTCACTCAAGTTGAACATGATTTATACAAACTCTGTAAGTTAATTCTTAATGAAAAAATATACTATTAAAATTAAAATTTGTTTTATTATTTTATAAATACGGAATATAGTTTTCTTAAATATTATTTCACATGCCAAAAATAGCTGTTTGCAAATAAAATCTATTAGACATGGACAATGTGATAAAATTAGCAGATGGTAGACAGTTGACACTGAGGGAAGTAGCTAGTAATAATTCGGTTGCGAGCCCTCGAAGGTACCAGCGTTGTCATTGCAAGACTAGTTGTAATAATAATAAGCATTGTGCTTACCTTGGGGCTGAAAAATTATGTTATATTAAATGTCATGGGAGTAAAACTTGTAAAAATAAATAAAAAATAATAATGCATTTATTCTATTTTTAAAAATATCTGGGTACTTACATAATTTTTCAAATTATTGTAGTATTTGAGATTCATGCGCTTATCTGATTTATAACATCAATTACCTGTGTATTTGGTCATTAACGTGATTATCCAGTTTATAACGATAATTACCTGTATATTTGGTAAATAACGTTAATAACCGGTGAATAACGTTAATTTCCATTTAACATCATTTACCGTAACATATACATGGCTAATAAACCCAAGTATCGAGTAGAGTAATGATAGGTTATTGATTGATAAATTAAGAAAATGTATACAATATATATTTTAAATAGAGACACCAAATTGTTTACAGCTTTCGGGAACTGTAGACCTTAATCCGGACCTGGTAATAATAGAAACTATACTTGGAGTGATTCATTTAATGTATAATCCATTAGTTAAAAAATATATATCTTAAATAATCTTAAATCATTAGAAAACAACATTTTCAATAATTTTTAAGTTTCTTATCTTTTTGAATTACAAAATAAATTTTTAATTTTATATTTTGAAATATTGCAATCTATCGAAATTAAATTTCGGACAAGTAGATTATTAGTTAAAAGTATTTAAAGATTAGAAAATCGAAGTAGTAGACCAACATTTTTCAGGGTACCCCTTTACCAAAGGCGGATCCAGAAATTCTCTATGAGGGAGAGGGATGCCTAGACAGCAAAAAAAAAAGGTCATCAGATAAAAAAAGCAAAAAACTTGGCCCAATAATATCTTTTTTTATTTAATTTGTAGGGACCCCTTCGTCTCCATTGGATCTGCTCCTGCCCTTTACTAATTTACTTTCTTCATTTAAACTTTAATACTTATACCTCATTAAGTACTTATCCAAAATTGGATTTGTATACATCGAAATACTCCAAAAAATATTCTACTTTGAAATAAGTAATTAAAAAAACATATTCTCATTAAAAAAGTAAAAATAATATTTTTTGTAATAATGAGTATTTTACATTAAATTAATCATCCGGTATAGACGTAAAGTATACTATAAGATAATATACTGTATCTTTATGACTTTATTACTTTATACGTTTAAATATTTTAATAAATTAGAATAAGCAACTACTATCTACGTTGAATTGTAATTTACAAACGCCAAATGTTTTTAAGAAATATAATCTACTTAACTATTTACAGTAAAAAAAATTGGTTCTTATTAAAAAAAAAAAAAAAACAGGAAATTCTGTATCAATACAAATTTAACAACAGAACATGGTTCTAAGTATCTAGGTATCAATTTAAAAATCCAAAAAATAAGAATTTCGTAAGCGTGCCTGGTAAATCCTCTGTTCCCAACTGTTGTAGTATAATATAATCATATTTTAAGAATAACCTTCAAAACTACCAAATTAATTTCATAAACTTGACATCAATGAATCAGTTTCTATTCCCAAATCAAAATAAAGTATTATTTACAAAATTATCGACTTCAGATTTAAAATTCAAAAACTTTATATACTACAAGTAAAATCAAAAGTAAAGATGTCAATATACATCAATTTTTTTTAAGAATTTTATACAACACTTAGTATGTTAATGCTATTTTGATTTTTTAAAATTTTATAATTTGATATTATTCAATTTTTTTAATTTAAAGCTAAATTTTATTAATATATATGTATGACATATTACTTATTAATGACAAGGTAGCATTTATATAGTTATTGCTTATTAAAGAAAATACGTATACCATTATATTATATTAGGTATATACTAATAATTATGATTATCACATAATAAAAATTATCGCAATTAAGACCACAGAGTAAATAGGTACTTACGTACATAGGTACTTATCTAGTAGGTATATGATTTTAAGTTATATAGGCGTATATTAGCGGTATTAAAAGATTTAGAATAACTGTGTAATAAAAAAAAAAATTATTTATATAAATACAAGTTATATTATTATGCTTTTATAAATAGCATTTTTTAATTACACCTGATTGCATTTATTTTCAGTTAATTATCTATTATTTCTAAATTGTACTTATTTTGTATTGATTTATTCGTGCAATTAAAATTTTTATATTTAGAAAACTTAATATAATTTTTATTCAAATACTTATTAAATTATAAATATTTCATAGCACATTTTTAAACAACATTAAATTATAATATAATTTTACGTTATAAGTCATAACTGATATTTTTTTTTTCATATTATTTAATTTTATATTGATGAAACATTGTACTTCACGTATATTTTAATAATATAAAAATTATCAACTTTAGCAAGATGAACATCACAACATTATTATTCGTATAAAATTATAAACAAGCAATTAATGTTGGCCAGTTGACATTGAGTTATGTTATGCATAGTACCTATTTAATTTTAAACATACCTAGCTTTAAATAATATATTTTAGTGTTTATAATATGTATAGTATTAATCTCTATAAATGGATGTGTAGACGTATAATTTTAGGTACAATAGTTAAAATTTAAAATAATATAATACCTAACCGTTAAAAATAATCACTCTAATGCTTAGAACCTACAGGTCCTGGATTTTAAATGAATTCTCAGTATTATTGAAACGCTGCATTTTTGTACATAGGTACCTAGTCTAATAATAATATAATTAATCGTAAATTCACTATAACAAGTTAATTCAAAAATTGAATACCTATGTGAATGACTATAAATATAGCTTTTTAATGGATGATCGCTGACAGATGGATAACTTTCATATCACATGTAATCTTTATCAAACTGAGAAGTAACTGTGACTGAAACGTTTTGCTTACTTTTTTATTTTTAATTATTTCTGTGTATTTTCATACATACACATTAATTTTAACTAATATCTAAATATTGTGTTTGGACTACCTAAGTAACAACAACACCAATAATAATAATAATAAATCTAAATGCTTTCATAAGTACCTACATCAACTCCAGGCTTCAGCTCTTAAGATATATATTACTAGTTTTTAAATTAGAAAGTAGAATTGTATATATAACTAAGTAATCATAATATACAGGTATCAGTTAATTTTTTTTTTAAATTATAATTTAAGTAAAATGACAACTATAATATATCTTTTTTTCTTTAAAGAATGTTTCAATTTATTCCAAAGTAACAAATTTAAGACATTTAAAAAATTTAATTATTAATGTATTTTAAGTACCTAAATATATAGTTTTAGAAGTTTCTAATATTAACTTACTTAAGAATAATGAAAACATTAGAAATATTATGCAATTTCAACTATCATTTATATTTATTTTATTATATAATACTAAAACTCAAAATGTATTGTACTGCATAATTATAAAAAAATGTATGGGTTATTTATAACATTTAATTAAGCATTAATTAACTTCTAAGAAAAATATTTTAATTATCAAATTACATTTCAGACCCTAAAATTTATAGTATATTACTCAGTTCACCTGTGGTATATTAACATATTATAAAAGTTGAGAAATCAAATAAATCCATGATCTGGTACATAATATACATTAAAAATGTTAAATAAAGGTTTTTGATAAATATCAAGAAATTATTTAGTTTTTACTTCAACAAGTTTACCGTAGTAAGTCCAACTGGTGGAATAATGGTTGATTTTCTTGTAGGTCTTCTAAGTGGTTCTGGAGAAGTACCAGTATGTCTACTTCCTGTTGAATGCCGTCGTATCGGTATAATACCAGCAAATCTCCTTCTTGATGGAGGTGCATTTTCATCAGTAGAAGGAACTTGAAGAAAATTTGAACTTGAACTTGATATAGTATTATTATTCATTTTTAAAAATATATAAATAGGTAGGTGTAAAAAAAAAAAAATTCTAGTAAATAATTAAAACAAAACTGTTTTATTAATGTTTAACAAAAAATTGACACCTATAATACTGAACAATTAGGCTTATCTGACATAGTAAAATGAGCTATCTAATCTTAATGTTTCAATTGGTTATTGGTGTTTTATCTTTGTGTATGTATATTAAACCTTAAAAGCACTAATATTAATGATTACATTTTTGTTTTATTTTGACAATAAGGTAAGTAAAAAAATCAAAATAAAATATATTAAGTAAAAAACAATTTTTCTTGTAACAAACAAAAAAAAATGAATATAGAAAATTTTTCAACAATATAAATCAATGTTATTATAAGTTACTGCCATCATTGATAAATAGATGACCAATCAGTAAGGGTTCTTCAGTTTCAATAGCAACTTCTACTATTATCCCAACCATTTCACATTTTAATTTATGTAGTAACCATCCATTTTCTAATGTCAAATTATATATTTTGGAATCAGGAATAATACAGCTATAGTCATCACAATTATTGAAAAACATATTATTATCCCCCTGAATACCAAACTCCATTTTATATGGCATTCCATATGGATCTAATGCACTCAAAAATATTTTGTGGGAGTCGTAAGGCTTTAATGCTTTAACAGTGATTTCAAAGTATAATGTTGATTTAATTTCAAAATGACAAACAAATATCCTATGATAAGAAGTATTTTCATTGTTACCATTTAATCTAAAGCAACCGCCACCTAAAACTGCTTCACCGTCAATATAAGAAATACAAGGAAAGTTACCATCTAGTAAACATAATGGAACAGATGGTTGATAATTTAGTTTTGATAAATTATACCAGGCATCCAAAGAAGACAAAACAAAATTTTCAATCTTTTTTGATCCATAACCTCGACAAAAGTACGTAGAAAATGGTAAAGAACAAGGAATGTGAATATACAAAAACGGATAAAGTTTTCTCCAAAATGTATCTTCTACCAAAT